TGAAAAAATTTTATATATGTAAACAGATTATAGATTCAAATAATTGATACAGATTATAGATCAGACATAAATAGATCAGATAATATATCAAATATTCAATTATTTTCCATCCATCATCATTCCTAAACGGAATATCAAGGGAGAAGCAATCAATCAAATCTAATTGAATGGATGGGAAGGTGAAGCAATGTCTAAAGCTAAGCTCCTATCTCCCATTATTTCATCCGACTTGACATCTATATACCAGCGAAATTTGAATGCGTGGAAACCCAGTTTCAGCACTTTCACTTTGTTGGCCGGATGTTTCCTGCATGCTTTCATCTTTGCCTTCGTTTCATTTCGTTCATACTTTTGCTTTAGATTTTCAGGTTAACCGGGCAGTATGTTTTTGTAGGAATACATAATAAGAAATAAAAAGGGGGAATAAAAGAAAGAATATAGTGATAAAGATTAATTTACAAAAGCAAAACTATTAGCGTTATCATCATTGAAACCCATTATTAAAATTCAAAATGGACAAGCAATAACAATGTTTGTCTTCCACCTATTTTGATTCAACTTTTACAAAAAAGGTTTAAACTCATGATTTGTACAAACACGTGGTTGGAAAAACACATTTGAACCTATCTCTTGATATCAAGGGAGATATACAGCTACAATAACAGCATGCAATAGGAAGTACTTGTCTATAAATATCTGTATGCAAATCTCAAACTCCACAATCTTCCCTTCATTTTTTTTTTTTTAAAGAGAGCCAACAAAACATGAAGAACTTTCATATCCTAATATCACTCATTTTTCCTACCTTGTTTCTCTTCTCATGCTCTGCATCTATTGTGCTATCTTTTTCCCCTCCTCATACTGATCTCCAAAACCGGTGCCTTAATGACCAAAAATCTGCTCTGTTGCAATTGCACCATGATCTGTACTATGCCCCAAATTTTACTTTCTCTTCCAAAGTTGAGCTTTGGGATCCCAACACTGATTGTTGCTCTTGGAAAGGAATTACATGTGATGCTCTAGGTCATGTGATTGGGCTTGACCTCAGTTACAAAAATCTTTCGGGCAACTTTCACTCCATTTTCAATCTTCATCATCTTCAATGCCTTAATCTTGCTGGAAACAATTTTAATACTACTCTGTTTCAGTATGAGTTTGATAGATTCCCAAATTTAACTCATCTCAACCTTTCAAACTCATGTTTCCTTGGTCAAATTCCAGTGGGCATTTCATACTTAACCAGGTTAGTCTCTCTTGATCTATCTAATCAAGATTCTTGCTATCAACGGTATAACCAAGTTCTCGGTCCATTCTACTTGTTCTACCTCTATCCACAGCCTTTTGACCTTCAACAACCTCTTAAACTAGAAAACCCAAACTTTAAGACATTAATCCAAAATTTAAGACCTCTTACAGAGCTCTACTTGGATAGTGTGAACATTTCAGCTCAAAGTACTAAATGGTGTGAAACCACCTCTGTAGTACTTCCTAACCTGCATGTGTTAAGTTTGTCGAATTGTGGTTTGACAGGTCCATTTTGCTCTTCACTCTCAAGACTTCCTTTTCTTTCCAAACTTTTCCTTGGTGGGAATTCGATCTCTTATTTGCCTCTCAATTTCTTTGAAATTTCCTCTCGTTTGGTTTCTCTCAATTTAGTGAATTGCAATTTGAGTGGGCATTTTCCAACAGAGGTTTTCTTATTGCCAATAATACAAAGCATTGACATTTCAGAAAATGACAATCTTGAAGGTCAGTTGCCAGAATTTCCATTAAATAATGCTTTACGAATCTTAAAGATTTTTTCTACAAATTTCAGTGGAAAATTGCCAGAAACAATTGGTAATCTCAAGTTCTTGACAACTTTAGATCTCCGTTTTTGCAATTTCTTTGAACAAATTCCATCATCAACTGCCAATCTTACTAACATTGTGGAGCTGAAATTAGGATATAATAATTTCAGTGGTTTAACCCCTCCATTTCATAGATTAGGAGTTCCAAATCTTTCATGTCTTGATTTGACAGAGAACCACCTCTCTGGCTCAATTCCTTCTTCTTTATTTACTCTCCCATCATTGCATACCCTGTTTCTTTGGAGAAATCAATTGATTGGTGAAATTGGTGAGTTCCCGAATGCATCTTCTTCATTGATTGAAGCATTGTATTTAGGCTACAATAGCTTTAGCTCCGTGAAGCTTGACATGTTCTTCCAACTCAAGAACTTAAGGTTTCTTGACCTTTCCAAAACGAGCTTGTCAATTGAAAGCAACATCACAAGCCTTGCTTTTCCCCAATTAGAGGAGCTATACCTAAATTCATGTAACCTTACTGAATTTCCAGAATTCATCAAAACTCAAGATAAGTTGGCTTTTCTAGGTCTTTCTAACAACCAAATCCATGGTTTTGTGCCTAATTGGTTATGGAAGACCACTCTTTTAGGGTTAGACCTTTCTTTCAATGCGATTGATTTTTCAAAAGAGTTTCCTTTTGGTGACGCAAACTCCTCTTTTCCAATGTTGAGTTTCTTATATTTAAAATTCTGTAACCTAAGTATGTTTCCAGAGTTTTTAAAGAGTCAAACTAGTTTAGAATATCTAGACCTTTCAAATAATAAAATAAGTGGTGCAGTACCAAATTGGGTGTGGAAGAAACGTTTGTGGTATTTGGATCTTTCTAACAATTCTCTCTCATTTTTGGACCAATTTTCACTAAACCAATCTCTAACTTCTTCACATGGCTCTTTATCCAGACCCATTTGCAATTTGAGTCAACTTGTGATCTTTAATGCATCCTTTAACAAATTAAGCGGGCCAATCCCAAGTTGCTTGGGCAACATCAGTTCTCTCGACACTTGGATCTACAAAAAAATAATTTCAATGGCAGCATACCAGATTTTGCAAAAGCGACCCAATTATATTGGCTTCAACTCAATGATAATAAATTGGAAGGGAAGTTGCCAAGGTCATTAGCCAATTGCACAATGCTCCAAGTTTTAAACCTTGGAAACAATACTCTGCATGACACATTCCCTTTGTGGTTGAGAAAATTGCCGGCGTTGATGGTCCTTGTATTGCGAGCAAATAGGTTTTATGGTCCAATTAAACATGTGAAAAATTGTTTTCAAGACTTGGATGTACTTGACATTGCTTTCAATAATTTTTCTGGTCAATTACCAATTGAATTCTTTCAAGCCCCTCAACTAAGGTCACTCAAAATTGGTGGGAATAAACTGAAAGGAAAGTTGCCGAGGTCATTAGCCCATTGCAAAAAGCTTGAAGTTTTGGACGTTGGAAAAAATATGATACAAGACACATTTCCTTTTTGGTTGGTGAAATTGCCTTCTTTAAAGGTTCTTGTACTAAGAGCAAATAGATTTTATGGTCCGATTAAAATTTCTGAGGATGAAAATGCTTTCCTAGAGTTACACATACTGGACCTCGCTTCCAATAACTTTTCAGGTGAGTTACCTGTTGGATTTTTTCAATCTTTGAAGGCAATGAAGATGATGATTGATGGCAAAAAAAGTAAGCCAGATTACATTGGAGATGATTACTACCAGGACTCTGTGACAATTGTGAATAAAGGGTTTGAACTTTTTTACCAGAAAATTTTAACCATCTTTGCTTGTCTTGACTTTTCCAATAATAGTTTCCATGGGAAAATACCAGAAGAAATACAAAACCTCAAGTCACTCAAAGTGCTAAACTTGTCCTACAACAGCTTCCTTGGACCAATTCCTTTAGCACTTGGAAACTTAACTCAACTTGAGTCTTTGGACCTCTCCCAGAACAAACTCTCCGGAAAGATTCCTCTACAGCTTACAAGCCTAACATTTCTTGCAGTATTGAATCTCTCTTACAACCATCTTGAGGGAACCATACCACAAAGCTACCAATTTGGTACATTTTCAAACGATTCTTTCAAAGGGAACCCAAGATTGTGTGGGCCTCCTTTGACAAAGAAATGCAATGAAGTTGGTCTCGGAATGCCACCCCATAAGGAAGATCAAGATTCATGGGTAGATGGTATATCTGTTTGGAAAATCATATTGATTGGTTATGGATGTGGTTTGGTGATTGGGTTGTCTATTGGATATACAGTGCTGAATGAGATGGGAAACAAATGGATGGATAGGTTTACATGGAATCGGAATAAAAAATGGAGAAGATCTTCTAGGTGACTCCATCAAAATTCAAGTTTCAAATTCATTTGGTAAGCATTCTAGAATACTTAATAACTCAAAAGTTTTCTTATTGATTCTTTCAGCTGTAGTTAATTGCCTAAACAAATAAAATTATTTAAATACTCTCTTACATTATAAGTGTGCTATATATATATATGCCCTAATTGATATTTAACTAAAGTGATTACATTTGAAATTTAATTCAAGAAGGTTTCAACTTTGGACGTCTTATTCCCTTTTTAAACTTGGCATTGCTTTTAAAACTAAAAGCAAAAATTGCCTGCAAACTAGGATATGTCCTTTGAATTTCTAACCTCATTTTATAAATGACAATAATGAGTTTCCAAGTTAACAATTTGTAAAAGACATGTGGGTGACTGGTATTTTGAGTTAGATTGGGCTGTCAGTCATCTTAAGAGCAAAGCAAAGCTTTGGCGCCTATTGTCCTTAATTAGATTGGCGTGGGATGCTCATATATATTTTATTTGGCAGGAGCACAATCAAGGGAAGTTTGGCAGGCCATCTAAAGATATAGAAGCTATTGTTTCAACTATCAGAAGTTCCTTTTGGCTTAGTTCAATAACAAGATTGCAGTCTCCAGTTCCACGCTTCCTCTTCAACAACAGAAATTGTGTCTGAATGTTTTTGGCTTGGTGTTACGGTACTTGTGTCTCGGTTCTTTCTCTTCTGCTCACCAAAGATGATTGGCAGTATGTCCGGTTGTATTGTGCTTGTCTTCTGTTCTGTCTATGGGTGGTGTTTACTGCTGAGTTATGGGTTCCCATGTTGTTCACCCTATTGTGTAACTCTGTTTTATAATAATTTCTGGCTTAGCAAAAGAAAAATGTGTCTGAATTGGGACTGGTTCCTTAATGTTGCTTCGTTTGATACTTTGCAAAAGTTAGATTGTTCTTGGACATTTGTAGCGTATTGATAGCTTACAGTTTACTTGTAGCAGGTCTACTGCTTTCTTTGGTTAATAAAATCATTTATCCAAAGAAATTCTTAACAAAAGTCCTATTATCTTTTAAACTCTTCATTATGGTTATACCTAAGTGATCATGCCGGCAGCCACATAATAGGTCTTACACATGAAAGCTCAGTTTGCCACGTCGTCATTAAGAGGTATAAAAAGTAGAACCAGACCAGACGGGCGATTCACTACTGAATTCTCTTTGCTCTCTTTAACTGCTCCTTACTCTCTCTCATTTACTTGCTTCTAATATACCTTACTAACTTGCATGGGAGAATGCCTCAAAATAACATTTTTGGCACACTGACTTTCTACTCTATGACAGGTCACACAAACTCTCCTTCTCAACCTCCAGTAAAACTTTCAACTATCAGACCAGGAATTACATCAACAATATCAATTATTCACCTCAACTATTTGCAGTGCAGGAATTTGATATAAGCCATGGCATGTACAACAATGACTACGCCTACCATTTCAACTGCCAAAACTAGATGTTACATCTCCTAACACAGAAAAATCTTCACAGACCAAGCTCAAGCTAAGATGCTTTATTCCTGTATTAACTGCTACATCACTACAGAGAAAAAAACAACGAAAAGAAAAGAACAAAGCTTCCAGTTCCAGGTATCAAGCTCGACAATTCCAGACTAACTTCGATAGTATTTTATTGTCCCTAACAACTATAGATTTGACAATAGCGAGAAACATTGAAATATTTCCTTTATTATTTTCTTCAACTTTAATCCCATATCATCCTTTGTTTCTTTGCTTCAGCACTCCTACAGACAAAAACAAATGGTTTGTTGTAAGCTCTATTGCTATATGATTGATTTGCATGTAGAATAGACCCTGACTAAACAAAAACAATGAGGGCAATACATTCAGTAACTTATATATACTCACTTCTGTATTCCATTGAATCCTTTCAGTAACTTATTCTCTATCTAATAGAAAAAAAACATCATAACTAAATAGCCAATATTGACATTGATGTGCTAAGTGTTCTGATATAGCCACTAATCCATAATTAAAAGATGAAGACACGCTATGTTTCAATCACTCGTCATTTTATAGGTAGTGTTTTCTCTAGTAGTCAGCTTGATGCTGTAAACCAGGAAGGATGTCAAGCCTTCTGATATTTAGCCTATTTTGAGTATTAGCTCAGAATTTATGTTTAGAAGATTGCTGCAAGTAAAAAGATATTTGATGACTTAGAGGTTGCCAAAAGCCACATTGGACAGAGTGATTATGCGTATATGAAGACTTTACCGCTAGAGGCTTTCTCCTACAACTGTCCTCATGCAGCCCTAAGTTCTTGCTCATTTGAATCCTTCTCTAACTAGAAATGTAAGTATCAACTAGAAAAATATTTTGTTCTTATGAATTCGGTCATTTGAAAATTTTACAGGGAAAAAAGGAAACAAAAAAGATAACTATTTCTTGAGTTTAAGTTTAGGTTTGCTAGCTAATTTCACTTTTTTTTTTTTTGAATCCAGGAACTGTATTTTTCAAGGAAGAAAACCAATCATTAATGTTTTCCATGCTTTGGACTTGGACAGCACAAAAAATCACAGCTTCCATTAGCCATCCCTACCCTATTGAAACTACCTGCAATCCAACATTCTTAAACTCTTTGAAGTAACATCCTAGATCCTACCCGTATGTGTCATCGGGACCTGGATTCTGATCTGATCAAGCTGAATTCTTGGTCATGATGAAGGTTGTGAAGTTGGATGCTGATTGTTGAAAAATTAATATTGGATTGCACCGCTATCTCTAGGTAGAAGAAATTCTACTTCATGGGTAAAAGGCAGCAATAGGGTTTGTTGGCATCCTAGGAATGCCAATTTTGTATATACATTACAAGTTCTACAATTGTCTACTCATTCAGTTGTTTTTGACAACTCTTGGAACTTCATGTAAAAACCTAATTCTTACTCTGATTAATACAATCACTCATCTCATAAGTCAGTTGTGGAATGACGCAGAAAAAATGCGTACCTAAATACTAATGCACATGCCTGCAGCAACAATGATTTTAAAGAGCTCGTCATTCCAAAATTCCCCCAAGCTCAAGCAGGGAAATGGTTTCATTTAATAAGGTATTCAGACAAGTGAATCCTCCACTACAACACTAAACAAAGAAATAAAAGTGCTCATGGCAACAGGAATTGAAGGAAAGCATCAATGTATACGTATCTCATAAGCAGTATTGAAAATGCCAAGGGTGGGTTAGTTGCATACAAAGCATTCCTTATTCTTTGCATGATGCTGAACAACCAAAAGATGCAGTTGGTTATTTTACATTGGAATGAGAATAAAAATGTAAACTATACAGACATGAGGCACCAAAAGTTGACGATGTAAAGTTAAAATATGTCCTCTTTCTATAGCTGAAAAACAGTTGGTCCACATACAATTTTCTTTGTATGCAAGTAACCAAAAAAGTTTTGCACCTAAGCAATGCATTAACAACAAATGTAACAAAATCTAGTAGATATTAACCTAGCACAAAAAGGACATTAAAAAAATTAATCTACATGAAAAGGCATATGTGGGTACCTTTAAAGCACAATGCTCGCAGAAGTAGTGCTTGCACTTAGTCACAACAGGATCCACAAAAGGCTGCAGGCAAATAAAACATGCAAAGGGCAACGAATCATCATTGTCATCATCACTCTGGTCTACCCCTGCCTCATCATCATCATCGCCACCCAAAGCCAGATTTCTCTTCCTTGCTTTTTCTGCTTCTTCCCAGTCCTTCTCTAACTGCCATCCAGACTTGTAATCTCCACGATCATGCATAAACTTACATGAATCTCTGTAACCACAGTAACCAGTTTCTTTGTAGTCTTTACAGATTTAAGGCTGATAATCAAATCTTGCTGAAACCCTGATGTAGGCAGAAGCCCTAAGAGGTCCATGTGATCCACCAGCTTTCTCACTGGCAACTGTTTGCTCTCTTCGAAACCCAGCCTTATGATCCACATAGCCATGCATTCCTTTATACAACTTCTCTCCCCCAGAGCTAGTGTTTTTCCCCTTCAAAGCCTCCTTTGCTCATTTAAGAACTTTTTCACGTAGCATGAGCATCTTTTGTAAACTCAGTCTCAGTTTCTAAGGTAGCTGTAGCTCTGCTATCATTTTGAACTTGAATTTCTGACTCAAATTGAAAAATCAGTTTGTCAGATTCTGTATTTGATTCAGTGGGAGCAGCACTCCTGGAGGATCCAGTTGAAAAGCATAACATAATGTCAGGCTTCAAAGCCTTCTTCTGATTGTGCAACAGAGATGTCCCATTTCCGGCGTCTTCATCTTCAACTTCATCTTCATTTATTGTCCTTTTCCTCATGTTTTTGCCCTTTGTTGGCTTCCTAAAGAAATTGCAGACTGAAAAATCAAAGAGCTAGCTATACAAGTAAATATACATATACACCTTTAAAAAAGAATAAAAAAGGGAACAAATTTTACCTTGTTCAGATTGTTGAGGTTCTGTTTCAAATTGCTGAGGTTCTTTTCCTGGATACTGCGGGCTCGCTTGAATCTGTCATCTTAACAGAGACAAAAGCAAAGGTTTTATAGGTTACTTGCCTCAAGCAAGATGAACTTCAAATCGTTTACGACTGCTGCTTCAATCACTTGAAAGAAGGTTTTAAACTAAGTGAGACAAAATCCTTATTACTATTAATTAAGGTAATGAATGATACAAGATTAACACACTAACTAGTGTCATAACTAAATTTCCATAGATAACATCAAGCTTTCTCTCATGAAAGGCTAAATGCTCAATTTTTTACCCAAATCATAAATTTCTATTGATGTAAGAAAGTGAAGGAATTAAATTTTTTATACTAATCAAATTACCGAACAAGAAGAGATCATCCTTTGTCAAATACTGAGTTCACCATTCCAACACTTAGAAATCAAATGTGATCGAAATAGTCATAGATTCCATTCTTCAGAATCCCAAGAGGGTGTTTATTCCTTCTGTGGAGCTGCATTCCCAGTTTTGAAAAAATTGTGTCTGGAACATTGTTTGTTGGATCGTCCCTCACCACATCTACAAATCCCGCCATCCAAACAATACTAAATCATTCATAAATTATGAAAGCACAGAAAGTGATGAATCAAATTTCACCAATAACAAAATATCAAAGCATATACCATGCCAATTTTCAAACCAAAAAACCTCAACAACAGATTTCAATTGCTGACACTTTCAATCAATTCATGATACTCCAAGAAAGGTGTGATCTACCTAGACTAACCATCTTATAAATATATTCCATTACAAAACATATCAAACCAAAACACCATAAATCCAACTTTCTTATCAAATACAACTTGAACACCCACAACACAAAGGGCGTATTTAAAAAAGCACCAACGCATAAATGCAATTAACCTTTGCCAACCCAGATTTAAACACGGGGTAAAATACCCATTACTCTTAACAATTTACTAGTCATAGTCAAAATGCTATATCTGCAAATACTGAAATGGCTCAGTTCATGGAAAAGTCAATAAAATCATATAACAGCAAAGCCCAAGTTCATAAAAAGAGCAATTTGTTGCCATCTTTAGCCATTCTGATTCCACCAAGCTCTAGCACTGAGGAAGCCACTGGTTGTCTCCACTTTCATAGTAGACAGAGAAGCAGCAACAGAAGATGAAGAAAAGGGTAAGAAAAAAGTGAACCGTTTGAAACCATTTATGCGGTGAAAAAGGGAGACAGTTAAATGAGCAGTTGAAACAACTGCCATAAAGCCTTGGTTTTCTGTTTCAGAGTACTGGATTCTGTGAAGAGAAGAAACAAGGATTAGTCAGTTTGGGCCTGATTCGTTTGAAAGGCACGAAAAAATTAAAAATATGCTAATTATGTTAAAAAAAAAAAAAAAAAAAACTTTACTCATGGGACGCGCGTTCGACCCCAGCAACCTAAGTATTAGTTAATTTCAAATTTTTATCAAAATATATAACATATTTTTGTTGGAGCATAGCTCCTGCCAGCAAGGCTGAGGAAACAAAATAAAGAAACCGAAAACCTTTTCAAAGAATTGAGAAATAAAAAATCGATTAAAAATTATAATAAAATTTTTTTATTTGATTCAGATCAAATATTAAATATTTTAATTTGATTCAAATGATTTTTTATTTATTAAATTAAAAATTTTTCAATCGAACTTAATTTTATTTTTAGTAATTTTTATATAAATTTTATTATTTTATAAAATAAAAATATTTTTTATTTTAAAATAAAGAGATCAAGTTACATCAAAAAAATTTTAGATTTTTTTAATCATTAATTTCAATTGTTCAAAGATTAAATAGATAAATAAATAATTTAATCTCATTTTTTAAATCAATTAAAATCAATAATTAAAAAAATATAAAATTAAAAAATTTTATAGTGATATAAATTAATCATTCCCTTTAAAAAATAATATGAAAGTAATAGTAAATAAATTTTAAATATCAATAAATTAAATTAAATCAATAAAATTCATTTCAAATTAATTCAAATTAAAAAAATCAATTTAAATTTAGATTAACTTTTGAAAAATAATAATACTAAATATTAATAAAAATAATCAAACGAATTTCTTATCGGTCCAACTTGCTAGACACAATGTTTTAAATCGGACCAACAACCAAAACCTCTAATTATTATTTTAACCTGTCTGATTGGTTTGATTGATGGATCTAACATCATCCATAATTAATTTTTGAAGAATTTTCATAAAAAATAGGGGAAAATAAGGTAGAATCAGAAAATA